AGACAGACAGACAGACTTCCCAGTTGAGCTTACAGACCTGTTATTTCCTGTTATCTCCTATCCAAGTACTAAGCAGATCTGATGCCACATAGTTTTTCAAGAACAGCAAAGCAACCCAGCTGGGCATGTTTTAAAACATTTCTTTTTATAGGTCTCCTTTCAGGGACAATGTGCCCTGAAAAAAATCAATTAAAAATGCATTAATTAAACATCTCAAAACTTTATTTAAACATAGTAAAGTTAGATTAATGATTCCCAGATATGAACTACAGTTTTGAAATAACCAGAAAGTCCAGATGGATATCTATCTGATCAAACCTACTATAACCAAAGTACAATAAGACCACATTTTTGTGAACCTCAGAACTCCTCAAGAAATATTGAACCTCCAAATTGGACATTTTAAAAATATTTTGACATGTTGGAGTGGTTAAGTGATACCTTGAGTTTTAACTCTTGAACTGCCTCCAAACCAAAAAAGGGTCCTGACTCCAACCACTTTGGATCTCAGCATGCCATGCAAATCCTAGCACGGCCCTCAAGCCAACAGAAACTGCATACTCCTGATTTGCAGTTACTGTAAATAAAGATGAGGGATAGGCACCAACCATAACATTCAACTGAGGTCTGATCCAGATGTTTGGGAAAGGCTCAGTTTGGTCCACACATTTTTCTGGTTCAGTCTTGCTGCTGAATCTGAAACTATGTTAATCGAAATGGAGCTCCATTTGTCCCCTTATGTAGCATGAGAGAAACACATACTGATAACTTTTGGTGTTCTTCTACAGATTAAGATTCATATCATTTTATAGAAGGCTCTGGATTTGCTATCATCCAGTTTTAATCTTCCCACATTTTCCCACCACTTCTAATAATTTACATAATCAAGATTGGAAACTTTAGATGTTGTCTACACATTTCTTTCCTTAGCCTACTCATTGGCAGCTGATTGTGGTGAAGGATTTCATCACACAGTCTACCAACTGACCTATTTTTTTCCCACTACACCTACTATCTTGTGTTTTTTTTTTTTCCACATAAACTTCAAAATTGTTAAAGAAGAAAAGACCGAATGCACAATGCCTTTGGAATGGTAGCCCTTGGCTCCCTCATTTAGTTCTGGGCATCTGCATTTAAATGAAAGTGCGTAAGATAATAACAGATAAAATGCATGACATTCAAAAGAGAAAAAAGAAATTTCATAGGAATATGTAATAAACAAAGGAAGTCAATGTAAGTTGACCAAAATGCTTGAAACCCTTACCCTCTTTCTGCCCCCATCCCACGCCAGAAAAGAAACAGTAACAGAGTACACAGCAGTAATTAACTGCTGCAAGCCAGGTGTAGATTTATCCTTCCAGTGATACATTTTTTGTTTGTTGGTTACAGCCATGCTTGAAAAATTCATAATTCTGGGTATGTTGATAGATTTCATAAACATAGGATATAGCTTAAGTTCTTTGATGAGTAGTGAATGCTGTAATGTCATGTTGACAGTGTTTTGAATTTTAAATAAAAATGTAGCAAGAGTATGATTAGCCCAAATCATATAAAATTATGATGATGGTGATAGTAATAATAATGATTATTATTAGGCACAAGTCCAAAATGCAAGGAAGCAACTAAATGGCAGCCATCATTTATAATGAATTTTACAATAAAAGACATTAGAAGCAAGTGATTTTTACTGTCTGAAATAAGCACAATCATGATCTATTTAGAATTCTAGCTGAGCTATCAGTATGTGCAAAGAGTAAAGCCAGAATTGGGACCCACTATTCAGAGTTGTTTTTAAATCAAATCAGGAGGGATAGAATCAGCTCCAGCTTCCTTACCAGGTTTCAGTTGGTTCTGATACTATATCTGGAAACTATAATGACAGTGATATAGCCTCCTCTACAAGTAGGGAGAAGTTTTCTATCTATCATCATTCTATCTATATCTATATCTATATCTGTATCTACTGTATATCTATATCTATCTATCTATCTATCTATCTATCTATCTATCTATCTATCTATCTATCTCTATATCTCTATCTATC